ATAAAATTAAATGGGATGATTTGTGCAAAATTATATTTGCATAAGAATATGACAAAATGTAATTTCTCCTAATTTGATTACTTGGAATTGGTGAAAAATTATGTAGAATATTATAAAATATTCTAGGATCAATTTAGATGAAAATGTGCGTCCTTTTATATGAAAAATCATGACTTTTGATATAATTATTTTCCAATGGGTACGTCTCTTCATAGAGATTATTTCAAGAGGTGTGTCCTTTTATAAGGTTGTGTCTCTTGAGAACACAACTTTTCAACCTATGGTTGATTCGTTCGTTTAAGTTTGAACATGGTGAATAAGGTAAATATGTACCTTATTATTTGACATGAAATAAAACTATCATGTGAAATGTCATAATGTGATAAGAGAAGTTGCAATTCTTGTGAATCAAGATGCTTAGCCCTCTTCACTGTTGAAATTGACTTCAATCATGAGACCAATTAAAATTGATTTATGCTTTCCAAGCATTGCTGGTCTATATGATGACCTTGATTTAATTTGGATGATCAAATTAAAATAATTTAATTGAAATAAATTGTGAGTCAACGACCACTACTTTGAAAGTATTTAGACTTTCACGAAGCACTCGATATAGATATTATCTAAGAGATAAATAAATTGAACTATGAAAGAGTTGCTAAACTCTAAGTTCAATTGTAACCCAAAAATGTGAGGGATTATCATAAAAGCTCGTGAACTTGAATGAAAATTTTAAAACTTGTGGAGGCAACATTACTAGAGTGCATATGTATTCCTAATTGAGGAATTGTGGGGGTAACTCAGTTTAACAGTTATATTTGTTTTTATCTTATAATCATAGAAAAATATCTATGAAGGTAAAAGATAGAAAACCCTTATACTAATTATAAGGATGATATACACTAAGTCTAAAGTGGATTAAATGGGTACAAGCCAATTGTGACGATTGTTTGGACATTCAAGAACAATTGGAATATATGAAGATATTCATATAGTTCAAATGCATGGTATTGTTTCAATGATGATATTGAATACCCATGATTCTGAAATCCACTTGTAAGCATGGTTGACTAGAATTAGATAGAAATTCTTCGATCTTGTTTGGAATTAATAAAGTTTTAGATAAAGCTAATAAGAAGCATGTAATTTCATGAAAGGATTTCTTGGTGGTGACAATTTGTATCTATTAAATGAAATCGATCGTTTGCTAGTAATAATTGATAAGATACTAAGTCACATGTAATGGTAGGTCTAGACGTATAAGTCATGGACATAATACCATTAAGCAGTTGATCTCAATGGTGTAAACTCATGGTACCTTTAAAGAGATTTACTAAGAGAGATCAAGAATACTGCATATCGAATGGAATGAGGTAAAGCCTACTACGTTAGAGTCCTTGTAATGGTAACCCTACCTTGTTGACTGAAGATCCCAAGATCTTGGGTCAAAGGGATAGCTAAGTTATGAGGATTCCACGAAACACTTGGGAAAATAATTTCCTAACGCGTTCCTATGATACTAAAGTGCTTTCTGCAGAGTTGCAAGAGATTAAGATAATTTTTTAATGATTCCTATATCTTGATTAAGTCAAGTGGAGTAGGACAAAATACTCTTAATAGGAGGTCACCTATTTGAGTGTGAAGTATGGCCGTTTCAATGAGAATTATTCAAAGTTTGAATTCTTTAAACACTTGCAGAACCAAGAAGGGTTCAGGGCCAAAATGAACCAAGTCATGAGAACTATGAACGGTTTAGAAAAGACATCTGTGTGAGTATCGTTGTCTTGGCTTACACTAAAGGCTGAATGGTTCAAGACATCACGTTCACCAATTAGCCGAGTAAGTCTGATGGTATTTCACTAAGCAAGGTTCAAGGCCAGAAGCTACCTTCCCTGATGCAATGTTTTTTCGCACCCTCTCTACATTGCATCATATCATCGCATTTGCATATGCGTACCCAATTTTCATTCATGTGGGGGATTGTTGGAATTGGTTAAATAATTAAGCAAAAACTGAAAAATGAAAAGGTGTGTAAAAGTGAAAAATGAAAAGGTGTGACTACGTGTCAATTTCGACCAAATATTCGGACTTGATCCGATAGTCAAATTACAAAAGTAAATAGACCAACTTATTCTACTTGTCGAGTAGATCGTCGTGGTATATTTGAAATCTCGAAACCAATTCCGGATGAATGAGAAATTGCGAACCAAAATTGGAAGAAATGAAGTGTTGTAACTTTTCGAAATGATGCATGTTTTGGTCAAGTGTTGCAACTTTTTGAAAAGATGTACGTTTTGGCCCATACTACTTCATTTGCACCCTTTCTACATCTATAAATAGAACCATATGGACATGATTTTGGGTACATCAATTGCATTGAGCATTCATTCTCCTCTTACAATTCTCTCCTTTCTAATTGTATAGAATTTTCATGCATTTCTTTGGTAGAAAGGGAATTCCGTTCGAGTTCGCTGGTCGAAATCATTTGGAGTGCTCCTATGGTTTGACGTGATCGTTGTATCTTGGGAGATAATTGTCGAAAAAACCGTTAGCACCAATGCGGGGCAAATTCATCTTAAGGACCAAGTGTCAAACACTTGCCTCGACCAAAAATTCATCACTTGCATCTTTCTTCCTGCAGTTTTTTGATTTCTTTTGATTATATTTTGATTTCTGGAAATGATTAATATTGTTTATATGTTTATGTTGTAAGGTTCAATCAAAAGAATAATTTGCTTTCGTTCAAGAATCAAAATGGATGAATCCATATCCATGCATTCAGATTCGGTAATTTTTATGTTTTGCTTCTCAAACTCCATTTCGGTAAGTCGAAACCTTGTTTCGATTTCGTGAACATAAACGGTATATTTTTTGTGAATATAATATACACATAATCGGTGTAAATTTTCCCAACATTGATTGCAATCCTCCAACCAAACCGATTGTTGTAGCATGCTTTAGAGCTTCCTGCCTTCCTTCCAGAGTTCAGTTGAGCATATTGGTCATAATCACCTTATAGCCTTGAATGCTGAGAACATGACAAAGTTTACCCTTGGAAAGGATCCATTCATTGCCATCCACCATAATAGTATTTTTCAGAGGTGTGTGCTGAATATGGTTACCATTTAAAAGTGTGATGACGGATATTTTCTTCATTATCTCGAAAAACGTAAGTTCGAATTCCGTAATCTTCCCTGCGGCTAAATTATTTCCTTCTCATTTTGAACTTCAGGAGTTGCATTCAGGAAAGATTATTGGCAATGCTAAAGAATGATGGATTAATACTAGAATACTATTACTAACAGCTAGGAGGGCGCTCGAACGGTCGTGTTATCTGGTGCAACTGGGTTTCGTGATTTTGACAATTTTTTTCTTCTGTTCAATATCAAACACTCCGTTATTGGTTATGCCTATTATATTAGGATTCCATCTTTCGTTAGACTCCTTTTGTATTAACACGCTTCATACTCCTTGCATGTTTTAAAATGTAGATTCTCCTTCTCTATCCGTAGTTTTTTCTAGTTGGGTTTCCACGTAAATCTTGTATTCAGTTTATGACCTTCATTGAATGATCATTCTCGTATTTGTTGGGTTATTAATTGAAAAAAAAAATGTGAACCTAGAAAAACTATCATAGACTTCCATGCTATGATTAAAACACAATTCCAAGCCCAGTACAAATTCTTTTTCCAACAGATAATGGAAGAGAAGACTTTAATTCTATTCTCCAAATTTATCCACTTGAAAATGGCATTATAGCAATCATCATGTGTCAAATCTCTTCGACAAAATGGGATCGTAGAAAGAAAAAAACAATCACCTATTAGAAGTATCATGATCTTATATGCTTACCGTTGGGGGATGTTATTCTCACTTCTGTATACTTGATCAATAAAATGTCTACTCTAGAATCATTTTCAATTATATATTTTACTAGACCATATTTTTTCCACTTTTTAACTACGCATTCTCTTAATAATAATAATAATAATAATAAATCATTTTTCCTTGAAAACATCTGCAGGGTACAAAATTTAAATCGCATTCTAAAAAAAATATTGTTAAGATAATTAATTAATTAAACAGAACAATAAATAAAATTGTTAAAAGTTTGTTTCTGTTTTGCTCACTTCTTACTCTTAGGGTAGAGACTATTGAAATCCTAATATCACTATATTCCTCTCTTTGTAAACATAACCGGCAACGGATCCTTCTTTTCCTCCGGCGCTTACCATGGTTTCTCCATATCGTCAGTAGACACCAACTGCAGTTGCTCTTCCATACATAACAGAGGAAATACAAAGACCAAAAATCAGAGTCATCTCCCCATTCCATTCCCATCTCAGAGACCCAGCCCCACTCCTATTTCCTACTACATGATGAATTCTTTAGGGGGCTTTTTTTTTTAGCATTTAATGTTAAGGAATATAATTTCATATGAAATAAAGATGAAAACATAGACTGAACTTTTTCTCTTAATAAGGTTAATCTCTGAAACCCAAAAAACTTATAATAGTATCAGAATCCATTAAACCCTAATGAGAAATTCGATCCGATGAAAACTAAAAAAATAAGCATGCAAATTTCAAGATTAGTTTACTTAAACGAGCCACATCTTACGGTGGCACGTTAAGGTATATAATCCCACATCAAATAAAAATGATAAACATAGATCAATTGGTAAAAGTTTTGACTACTCCTTTTAATAAGGTTGACTTTTTAAAATGGAACCCAAAGTCTTAACATTTAAGAGGCACTAGACCTTAAAATCTTCTTCGTCACTATCAGAAAAACCTGCATGAATTACTATGAATTTCGATGGTCAGATTTCAAGACAAGTGTGAATGATACTTCCTGGAGCCTGGCGATTATCAAGCGGAACTAGTGGGCATAAGAAAGGGATCCGATTTTTATCTGAGTAGGGCTCAGAAATTCTAACATCCATAAATAATGTGGGAATTGTCATTTCGAAAATATACATTCCTACCATACACGTCATCAACAATGAACAGAGAATGCCAAGTAAAATGTTGAATGAATAGACCATTTTAATTCAAGCACACTTCGATTTTATTTACTGGCATAGCATTGATAGGATATTTGGTACTCAATCACAAAATAGCACGACAAATTCAAACTTACATAGAACTTCAAAAACTCGATCAAACCGACGATACTTTATTAAGAGCTATTCAAGTAGCTACTGATGACCGAGTTTGTACACAGTGCAGGATAAATTGCGACTAAAAGGAGAGTGCACCACAGGGGGTGATCAACCCTGAAGGCCAATGATACCTGCACAAGATTCACATAAGCACATGTTATCAGGGAGTCGAGGTAGTTGCTTAATTCAGTGTTAACGTTATTCAGCCATTAAATAAAGACAGAGAAGTGTTCAGGGGCAAAAAGCAGTATATGATTCACAAAGGTGAGCATTGCCAACATCTCAGCACTGAGCAAATCGTTCAGTTTTCAGGCAATTGCTAAGAGCGTTTGTAGAGACTTCGTAAAACATAAGTTTTGAACAAAAACCACTCAAAAAATCAAAATTGAAAAAACTAAAACTCATTTTTGGCAAAAAAAATTGTTGCTTAAAAGTAGCTCTGAAGCTTAACAATAAGCTTAATTAAATTTTAAGTACTTGTAAATTTTTTAAGGCTTAGCCAAACATGCTTGAATTGTATTTTTGTCGTTAAACACTTACTAACCTCAGCTACCCTACGCGATGTAGTTCATCTAAAACTAAACTAAAAAAATTTCAACACCGAGAATGCAAATAGCTTATGCCGCATAGTAGTTCAGTGGCAAAAATAGATAAATAAATGTTTCTTACCACAAGCAACTCTTCCACCAGCATTTCCAGTGCTCTTGCTCAGTTCATGACCACCTGATACAAGGGAGTAACTCGTAAACAACTGCCAGTAAATTTAAAAACGTAAAAGAGAATTTTCAAACCAGGATAACATCAGAAGACACGATCTGTGTAAGAAACGAACTAACACTTAGAGCCTTTTCAAAATGTGCTCCTTGACTCACCCAATCAACCAACCAGCCAAAGGATTTGAGAAAATAGAAGAAAATATTGTTCCACAAGTTTCATGATGAAAAGCTTGTATATTGCTAGTTAAGAGATTCAATTACTCTAGAAATGTTGTCAAGTTCTTCCAGTAAATTCAACTATAATGTAGGGAAATGACTAGGTATTAATCACCATGACAGATGTGCATGATAATAGGAATCAGTTTTTGTGAGAGAGAGAGAGAGAGAGAGGACCATTCCATTCTCTTCTTGACAGCAATTGTAAGCAGTTTTCTGTTCAAGGTCATGCATAGAAAATTCAGTAATTAAAATATAGAAGATACCCACCCCTTCCAAGATCATCAGGATCTGAATGGACAACTACTGCTCTTCCAATTATGGAATGTGGTCCTGTAAGAGGTATCTGCAAACCAAGATAAACATTTAAGATACTAGTCCAAGAAAACTACATATTATAAGCTGAAACTGTGGTGAAGAATCATTCACCTGCTTGTCAACAATGTTGATAGCAGCGGTGCCTGAACATTAAAATGATGGAAAAAGGAGAAGTGAGCATGTAAGCATTTTGTAATGCATATAGCATAGCACCCGCAACTTTTTGTTTATTTACACTACCCTTGGGGATTAAACAATATAATACTCAAATTCTCTAACAAATAATATGTGATGACCTTTTTTTCCCTTAACAATATCGGTGGGAAGTTTTCAAATAATTTTTGCAATACTACAAAACTTTAACAGCAGTCATCAAACAGCATAGGTAGCTTTGATAGCAAAAACTAAGAGCATGATTGGCTAAGCTTAAAACACCCATTAATCTTAAGTATGTGTCAATTTTAGATTATTGACAAAGTTGGAAATAAGTTGCTTATTTTAAGAGTAAGGCAAGAGTTACTCCTAAAATAACTACTTTTTTTTACTTACCAGTAAGAAAAACATAACATATCAAAACATGTTTGGAAGCAAAAGGTCGTTTACTAGTTTACGAGTGAAGGTACTATATTCTTTAGTTTATGAATGAAGGAAATATTACGTCTCTGCAGAACTTAATAACAGTAGTGTGCAAAATTTTTTTGTCAAAAATGCAAAGGAATGTACCATCTTCGCCAACTGTGATATTACCAAGATCACCAGCATGACGGTTCTCATCTCCAGGTGCACCATGCTCTTTCCCAACAGGATTGAAATGAGGTCCTGCATATGAAATTACTGGAATATGAGAGAGAGAAATTTCAATGGCTAGAACTGGTACAAGTACAACCTCTCACCATTGGAGTTTACTAGTTGTTAACAAAGATGAACAGACAACACAGGAAAATTACCAGTTGACATACAGCCATTGGTGGTGTCACCAAGGGCGTGGACATGAAAGCCATGAAGTCCAGGCTTAAGGCCAGAAAGGTTTCCAGTAACAGTAGTTGGACCTGAAGCATTAAAAATGAATTATAAAGAGAATAATCAACAGGCTAAGAGCACATTTGGTACAGAGTACTCAACGATATTGCCATGTGTCATAAACAAGATAACTTATTTATATTCCTTAATTTTGTCCAATATTGTCCAATCCAACATAACAAGCATGCCATAAAGGAAATGAAAAATTACCATCTCCTTCTTGGGTGAAGTAGACGGTGCCAGTGACACCCTCGCTGCTGTTGAGGACTGTGACGGCCTTCACCATGATTATTGTGATCTACAAAAATTATAATGGCACAATTTATCAATCAATTATACAGAAGATAATTAAAAGTACCTGAGAAAAAATGGTTAGTACAAAGGCACGTAAGAATAGATAAAAGAGCAAACAATAGGTAATATGAAATAGTTGTAGCCATTTAAAACCAAAACAAAATGCCTTAGAAAGACTTGAGTCTCTGTTTTTCGAATGCAAAAGGCTATTACTACTAACACCAATCCAATCTTTCAATCCCCAAAGATTCACTACCACTAAGAATATTTTTCCTATCAAAAACCCCACTATTTGATATCAATCTTATTTCATATCAAACTACTATCTTTTGGTTATGCTATTGCACGAAACAGAGTTAATTACATGAAAAGTGTCAATTTTATCCAATGTTAATTACTTAACACAGTACAACAAAAAATTTCTGTAAAAAAACAAAGTCCCACAAAAAATGAACTCACAGTCTTGAATCCAGTATAACAGTAAATGTACAAGCTCAATTTTACAAACATACAAATTTGAAAAAATAAAAATAAAAAAATTCCTATAAAAAAATTTGATAGAAGTAAAGTAGAAACAGTAAATATTAAGTAAATCACCACACGCAAATAAATAGAAAAATGAATCACATCCTTCAATTCTCTCAAATCTCTTCTTTTTAGGGCAAAAATGAGTAAAACCCAACAAATAGTCTTTCTCGTAGGACCCATATACCCATGAAATATGAAAAAACTCGTTTTAAAATCTAATTAACCCACTTACCAATAAATTGAACAAAACATCACAATAACATCATGAAAACTAAGCATTTACAGGGAGAAACGCCACATACTTCAGCTAGGTAGCATGAAAAACTGAGTCTCTATTAACGAATGTAAAACAGCATGAAATACTAATAAATTTAATCTAAACTAACGAATCAAAAAGGAAAAAAATACAAAAAAACAAAAAACTGAACCAGTCACTGATGCAAATAAATGAAAAGGGAACAACATTATACAGTTTCTTATCTCAAAAACAAGGTGAAATTGTATTTGAGTTGTTTACCTCAGAGCACCCCTTACACAGGCTAGAGAGAAAGAGTCAAGCGATGATTCCGGAGAAAATGCCAATGAATTTAAGGAGTGATAGCCGATAGGTCGTTAGTTTTTATCAAAATTTATGACCAATTTGCGGTCATTCATAATTGCGTTAGCTGGGTTCCACCTACTCTGAAACTGTATTCTCCACGCGCACCGTTTCGCGTGTAAATAATGTTACCTATCGGCTATAGTACTGTATAAATAAATTTATATTTTGTTTAATATTTATTTAATTGATTAGATAAAGGATACGTTTAGGTGGTTAAATATAAGTGCGCTGGATCATGCATCAAGCCTGTTATATATATATATATATATATATATATATATATATATATATAT